GCCTGTCATTTCCGTGTCAGCAAGACGGAAGTCTCCATCCATTTCGACGCAATTGCGCACAGCATACAAAAGTCGTTCGCGGCAGATTTCGTCGCTGGAATATCGTGGGAGTTGGAGTGCGAAGAAACACGTATGCGACTTCGGCATCTGCGAGTCCATCCAGCCTCCAGGGGGTCCTGACGATGAGCCGTTCGCGTCTCCATTACCCGAAGACGCAAGCGCTTGGATCTTAAATTTCTGGTGGAACTGTGCTGAGCCCAAAGGCAAACGAGACCGGGCCCACACAAACCGCAGAAAGGCTCGTTTATCCTCCGCTTCGAGACTTTCCAGCACGCGCCAAAATCTCTGAATAAACTCGTCGTTCATCGACAAATCTTCGTCGTACTCGGTATTAATCTGCAATAGCTTCACGTCCACTTCCGCAACGCCACACATGCGTTTCTCAAGCTCATTCCACGTCAGAAGAGCCAATGCAGACACCGGCATAATGGAGTGCAGTCCCTGCTTTACTATATTCATCACCTCTTGCGTTTCTTGGATCCGTGCTCGAAGCATAGAATCTATATATTCTTGCAGATTGTTCAAAGTCACCGCAGTATTGGAGCCATCTTCACAGAGATCAACTGTACGTCCATCGGATAATACAGTCGTAAAGACCAAATCCATCGCTTCTAGTCGTTCTTCTAGCCCTTCCTGCTTTGAATTTTGACGTTTAAACTCGTCTAAAATACCTTTCAACGTCTTCCATAATGAATACGCGACGAAATCGATCTCTTTGAGCGTTGCTAGCGCACTCTCCGGGTTCGAGTCGTCTTCAGCCACTAGTTGTTTCCACACTGACATTGCCAGATCGAGGCGAACGCACACACGCGTGCGTAGACAAATGCCGATCATCTGACCGAGAAAGAAAAACATTTCACAATAAAGTTGTCGTTTCTCTTCAGCGCTTTCTCCAGATAAACACGATACCTTCTTATCATGTATTTGACGCTCGATAAGAGCTCCATTAAGTACGAATTTCTCACGGTTGGCTCCAACGCAATTCCGCCAATTCGGACTAGGCAGAAGGAAGGGCAAGACACACGCTGATACGGATACATTGGGGTCCACTTTCAGCGACGTACTACTGGGTCCTCCATTCGCAGAATGCTCCGAACTTGTGGACCCATTATCTTCGCTTTCGGGTACGTTAAGCATCTGTAACTCGGCGAAGAATTGCGAAAAGAACTCTCGATATGGACCACCATAGTCATCCACTCCTTCGCCCTCGAACTTAACTTTAAAGCTTCGTAATTGACCGTCATCCATTGGGTGGGAGTAGACCATACGTAGCGTTTTAATAGGTAAGAAATGGAGCTCTTCAAACGACTGGCCAAAGAGGGATGAGAACAAACTGCTGACTGTTCCTTCGTGACATTTTGCTGCTGCTGCCTTCAGCCGGTTCACTTGTAGCTGCGGTAAATCTTCGGGATAATCGTACTCGTCGTCAGATTTTTTGGGTGAATTAGCGGTTTTTTCCATCAACGCTGTCCAAAGTGTGTTTTTTACACAGACAAAGAGACTACCGCGACATTGTGACACTAGTCGACACGGCAACGAGTTGGAATCCGGTAAAAAGTAGTGCCATGAGAGGTCGAAAAAGGGTAAAGCGCGACTGATGTACATGTTGCAGAAGCGCAGTATTGCGAACCGTGCGACGATCATCTCGTCAGGCTGAGGCATTGCAAGTACGTTACTAAAGGACGAAAGCTCTAGTACCGCAGTCTTCTCTTTGACAACATTGAGCAGTTGATTGGGTGTCAGATTCCACGGACTAGTGCGAGATACCTCACAGAAATCGTTAATCACACTTAGAAGCTCCCGATCCACTGCTACAGTCCACAAATAATGTTCCCCATACTCAACGAGTTCTTCTCGAGAAAGAGTAAAGGGCGAAAATATGTCCACTTTTGAACCCAAATGTGGGTCATTTAAAGAGTCTGGTGGGATATTTAAGTTGTCAACTGGAGTAGTGGAACTGGGTGTTGTTGCGCTCGCCACTAAGCGTAGTTTGGACGGATGGAAGAACCACGCTCCAGGTTCATTGTCGACTTCCACCCAGATCCGTCCGCCTGCCACGCCCATTACAACTCCATTCCCACGAGGTGTGCGGACTTTATCATCGCAATAAAACCCAGCTTTTTCACATGTTCCTCGCGTAACATCCACCCAGAGGGATTTCCCGGATCGCGTGGTAACGTGTTTAATGGATCCGGCGAGCCATTCTGCCGTCATTTCGAACGTAGCAGTAGCCATTTCCACTCGCATGGGACTTTTATCCACCCAGTTGGCCATCAGCTCACAGGCTATTAAACAGTCCTCCACACCCGCGTCTTCTACCTCTCCAGTCGGAGGTATATTAGTCTCACCGGTACAACTATCCTTAACGAAGGAGATCTTCTGATGTCGCGAGTAAAAGGCCACAGCGGGGGACACTGAACCCACAATATTATCGAACGCCACACCCAAATCCACTCCATTTTTACTAAACGAAAGCTCGCCTTTCTCGCAATCCAGCCGTAACCCAATGCAATCTCCTTCCGTGAATGTCTCGCCGTATGCTCGTATGCGGTTCCGCTGGTAGTACAGTGCTTTATCGCCAATAAAACCCCAAGATTGATCGTCCGCTCCAAGGAATGAATCCAAGTTTGCTTGTCGAGTAGCGACCCCTACAAAGAGATACGGAGAACTAGACTTTTCAATACGCACCAGCCATGAATGCACGCCAGTCGAGAAGCTCGTGACGGCACACGCAGCTTTCCATACCTCATTCCCAGAGTACGACACACTGAGGTTGTCGTCTGCGAAAGATAACAAGCTACTGCGAGTGCGTTTGCGGTCAAATACCAGCGAACAACCTTCCGATTCCGACGCATCTCCACTGCTACTAGCGACCATATGAGCGGCAGGTGTTGGGGCCACGTTAAACCCAGTAACGCCCTGTAGAACGTGCAGCAGTTCCACGTACCCCTGGAGATACTGAGAGAACAACAGTCGACCTTGACTCAACTCGCGACTGTGTCTTACAACAGCTGCAGTTAAGAAGTCTTGGACAACCAGTTGTGCCTCGTTTACCATGTCTTTGTCGACATTTTCTATGGCTCTCAATACTCTGCTGATAGTGCGAAGGATGACAAACTTCAGCGGCAAATTCGTCGTGCCAAGACAACGTCGTAGGCGGCGTAAAATAATCTTCGCAGCATCAACAGAAAGACACAATGACGAGTGTGTAGAAGCTACTAGTAGCGCGTCTAGCAGCCAAATAACAATTTCAATTCCTGGCTCTTCCAGCACAATTTGATCTGGACGATGGAGCTCCCGTTGCGTCCATAAAACAGCTTCGTACGCTTTACCAGCTGCTGCTGTTTCCAGGTCTTCAAGGCAGAATTCGAACGCTGACGCAACGAAAGATGCGTCGTGCTGGATCAAATATCGAATCGACTTTGAAAATACTTCATCAATAGATAATTTTTGCAACTGTGTCGACGAATTTCGCACAATAATTGCGAATTGATCCCCACGTAATCCAGCGAGTTTTAGCAGCTTGAACCACTGTTTAAACGGTATCAAAACCGGTACTGACCTTGTCTGATGTAGCACTGTGGCCATTATCTGACGAGCATACAGGATTGACAACGTGTTCTCAAATTCTCGCAGCTGGCGGGCCAGATCTTGAAGGTCAAGTTGGTTCAATTCTCTCTTCACTTTCGTTTCTATGGCGTCAGCTCGCCATGATTTCATAAAACGCGACTTGGTATTCGACAAGAAACCTCCATCTTCGAAAGGAAAATACATTTCCGCAAACAATTTTCTCCCCATTTCTTTGTCATTTAAATGAGGGACATCCATATCGTTCTCGGCGTCCTTTGTCGTGTTAACAGTCGCACTTAATGACGGAACGTGCGTACTACCGCTCGGTATATCGTCAGTATTCACGACGTCGTCCTCTTCTTCGTCGAAATGAGGAGAATCTCGTCCCTTATCGCGTTCTTTATCCAATGTGGACTGTAACTTACTCAGATATTCCAGATTGTCCACAATCCAAGCCGACGCATTGACGATATCGTTCTCGGTTTGCTTTAACGCCAGCACGCACCAATCTTCCGGAAATCCCATCAGCATCAGCTCCTCCACGAACTCCGCTCTATTTTCTTCAGCGTCGTCTTCGTCGTCGTCATTGTCTCCATCGTCTAAACTCTCGTCTTCCTCGTCGTCTTCGTCGTCATCTTGCTCGTCACCTTCCCAGTTCTCATTTACCGGTTCGTCTCCATCCGATAAATTACCGTCATTTAAACGCATTACTTCGGTCGGCGTTAGTAAAAAGCTTCGACGCCCTGTCGTCATCTCGTCATTAAAAGAGGCACTTTGAGCGGATGAAACCTCGCGTTTACCTTCAAATGCACTCGCCAATTCCGCCTCTCCTTCCTCCCCAAGATCAACCAGTGCAGTGTACACTTCTCGACGTAAAGAACTCACTCGTTTCTCCACGCTGTAAAGTGTGTCATGCTTCGGATTGCTATCCGGACGGGATGCTATCTCTGTAATTGTTTCAATCAACGCTGGCTTAGCTAGTAATATGTCAACTCCAGAGTCCGTTCCAGCAATTTGTACTAGAATTTTCAGTAACGAGCATCCAATATTCAAGGAGATCAAATCCCTATCAGGGTCGGTATAGATAGCAGGAATCACCTCTGCTGCCTTTTCCACCAATCCGTTAGCTGCTTTATGGTCACATTTATCCCACGCGACGTCGTAGATTATATTCGAATACGCGCCGTCATTCGCATTGGATATTTCAACCGGCATTAGCTCGTCAATATTCAACTTCGAATAAAGTGAACTGGTATCTGGAAAATCGACATTCGAGCCAAAAACTTTCTCGAACCAGGATTTTTCGTTGCGATTCTGTAGTCCGTCGGTACGTTTGAGAATGTTGGGGTTATTATCCATCCGGATGTGAGCTAGGGTGTCAATTTGTGGCGGGCATCTTGTATCGGACGGGGTCTCGGGAAAATTTTGAGCTGAGTTGGATGCATGATACTCGAGCGACAGAACCTGGGCAATATCTCTCGATCCTCGCACTTCTACAGTGATCCCTGGTCTTAAAAACTCGAAGCCTCCACTAAGGAAGTACAAGCAGCCTACCGATTCCACACACTTGACGGTAGAGAAACAAAGTACGTGCTTTCCAAACTGGATACCACAAATTTCGGGCTCGACGTCTCGAGAATTCGACAAATTCCGGGTAATATTCGAACTCGCTCGAATAATACTCTGGCGCCACGTACCGTTCGAATTTCTGAAAAGCCGCTGTAGAAGCTGGTTTAGTTCATTCGCCAGCATCAGACTCTGCCGCTTCGACGACTGGTACCGCCTCTCGACATCATTTTCTAGATCGAATTGTAGCTCGGTGTCTCGAACCTCAAGAGAAAAATGATTACCATGAATTCCACGAGCCAACATCAGTGCCCACGGCACCACAGCAGCCTCGCTGGCTTCTAAAGTCCTTTGTGGACATTTGTTCAAGCAGAATCCGATCATTCGGAGCACTTGCTGGACGAAAACATCCTCCAATGTGTAGAATCCAAGGGCCTCTGGCGTCTCTTGTACCAGCACTTTCGAAGCATCCACGGGGTGTTGAAGAGGTAGTAGAGCACACAAGACACGTAACGCGGACTGCTGTACCACTGCTGAGTTGGTACCGAGAAACGTACCCCAAATGAGCTTCATCCAATCGTAAAATTGGGAACGGAAGTGAATTATTCCTTCAGATGAAGTGCTGAGTAGGATGAGTAAAGCGTGCAACTCCACGAGTTTCGAGTGGTCATCGTCCCGTTCACAAAGTCCAGAAGGAGTTTTCTTCTCGTCGTAAACGATGCGAACGTGGATGGGAGACAACGAGCGATTGTGGAAGCGGAAGTGGCTCAACCAGCCGTCGAAACACCGGAACGCGCCTGATGTGTGATCCGGAATATTCATTCCGGAGTCCCAGTGAACGCCTTTCATGATCCCAAGTGAGCGTGACAGAAAGCCAATAGCCGAAGAGACTGAGGACGTAGTTTGCGTCATTGGGAATCTTCCGAAATGAAGCGGAAGATCCACGTTCCCAGCCGCCCATATAGCAGTACTTTGCGCTACTAACGAGCGTTGACAGTCGAGAATACCGTTCAAATAGAGGCGTATTTTCATGGCTTCTAACACTATCGCCACGTGGACCCATTTCCCGCTTGCTACGCCTTGTTTCGACATCATTCTCTCCCATATTCGGCCCTTAATAGGCAGCTCTCCAGCGTCTCCTTCTCGGTCTATATCCATGAGAATGCCCACTTCTAGTTGCCAATTACCAGAGCTTTCAGGTAGGAGTAGTAAGTACAGCGATATCTCACGTACAGCACCTCGAATAAATATCAATTGACGGTCTTGCGGGGTATCAGACACGTCAAAAAGATCATTATCCGTTCGTGTACCCGACTGGCTGTTAACAAAAAGCCACGTCGTGACACTAAACTCATTCGGTTTAAGTAACGGAGACATAGCTGTAGTCGTCTCGGAAGCAGAGATCATGTCATCGTAGCTGCACGTCACTCCTTTACTCTGAGCGGAGAATCGTTGCGGCGACGTAATGACCTCAAAACTCCTACGTACGGCCACAGGAACTGTGAGATTTGATTCGATCGGCTTCACGTTATCCACAGCGAGTTGTAGAGGCAAGAATCGATTCGAGATCGAGACGGCTTCACTATATAATAACCGTGTTACACCCGACAATACAGGGAACGTGGGGACGTAGATATCTCCGCTTGATGCGTTTTGTACTGCGAAGTGAGCGCAGATATACCTGAACAGAACCCACAACGTCTCTTTTAGTCGCGAGAGCTGTTTTTTTACGATGAATTGAGCAGATTGTGGTCCTCCGTTCGCGTCACAATTTTTATTCGAAAGCTGCTGCACCATTTCTTGAATAACGCCGAGAATTCCTATGTCACTCACAAATTCGAATTGCTCCTCATTGAAGTGAATCCCCCACACACTCAGCAGCATAATAACGACCCAGAACGAACTGGTACCGTCGGGGTCTCCCGAGTTTATCAGCTTTGCAGCCTTGTCGGTTATCATGTCAGTTAACTGTCCGATAAACTCGTAAAAGGTTTCATTCTTTAGACTCGAGTAGAAGTATCCAGCGTTGTGGGATGCGAGCAGTGGAGTCGACGATTGGAACACAAAAACCTGTGAGATCTGATAAACAACGTCGGTTTGGATCGAGTCAAACGAGACCATAGTGAGGAGTTCCCACAGTGTTTCAAGGCCTCGAATCGAGCAACTAACACGTCGACACGGATCGACCAGTAGCGTTCGGATTGCGTCCGTAGAAGACACGCGCTCGTCCGACAAAATATAGGCCAGCACTTCCTGAGAAACATGATTTTGTCGGTTCGTTTGGAGATCTGTAGCAGCAGATTTCCAGCGAATAATCGTGTGAACAATTGTCCGTATTCGTCTCCATTTGGACGTTGGGAACGCGACCAGAAAGGGCGATTTCTCGTCCGTGTATGTAGCGTGAAGATGCCGTTTAACGGATGAAGAAGAGACGCTAAAAGTCGAACTGGCAGAGACGAGGAACGCTGGATCATATGGTGCGATGTAGCCGGCATCTAGCTGAAGATTCCTGTGTTCTTGCTCTTCGTGGACATTTAGAAATAGCAGAAGGTTACATCGATCCAGAATCGTTTGTTGAAGAGCAGAAATGCGATCCAAAGCGCTTAAATCCGAGTCTTTCTGGGGCAGATTCTTGATCTCCGTCTTCTTAGTGGCCACACGTCGTCGCAACTGAGCAACAAACTGCCACAAACGCATGAAACTTCGAGGGGAAGATCGATTCTGCGTAGTATTTCTAAATCCCAAAGCGAAGTGATACGCCTGAGTGCCGAGCATGTTGTGATGAAGCAGTGCTGCGAAGCACGCCGCCTCTATCTGCGTGTCATTTACTGAGTGCGTAGAAGCCTTGGAGAGTTGAGACTGTCGCAAGATCATTCGATATGACGGGTCTTTCCTTGCGTAGCTATCTCGCACCCAGTCACACAACTTCACTTCGTTTTGGGTCTCGGAATTTGTTCCTTGTTGAAGCAAAATCAGGAATTTGTGAACGGAAGCAGGTCGAAATATCTCTCCGTAGTTTATATCCGTAGGTTGTTGCCAGTCTGGGGTAATATCGTCGTTTTCCGACGCTGGAGGGAGTATTAACGAGAACGGTGGAGTATTAAGTCCCAGAGGTGCTGCCAGTACTGGGAACGGCGTGTGTTTAACCGTTCGACCCTGTTGCGACCGCTGTGGGTCCGTTTGTGTGATTTTTTGCGTCAGGTAGTTGGCGTTCAAGCCACCTCTGAGTAACGAGCTCGTTAGCCAACGAGCTGAAAGTTTCGTGGTACTGTGGTCGCCCTGGTAAGTAAAATACGGGTCTCCACTCACTAGCGTCACTGCCATCTCAGCTGTCAGTACAGCCAGCTCTTTTTCCAGTCGGTAGAGCCACGGCATCGTCATCGCATCGGACGCTGACACTCCTTTTCTTGCCGTTTGATCCTCCGTAAGTAATTTACTTTCGCTCTTACGTCGAAAGTTACCAGTGCCGTAACTTTCTTTCTCTGACGATCGAGAATGTAAAGAAGAGCCCATCGTCTCCACAAAATCTTTCTCGGCTTGTTGCGCGTCGCTATCTTGCTGATTAAGCCCATCTAACAGCCTCAGTAAGTTCTTCAAGCTCGGCAACAAAGTTGCCGCGAACAGAGAATTGTTACTAAACTCGAACAAACTTACCACTAGTAGTGGTAAAAACTGGCCAGCAATCGAATGTTCCATAGTCTCCAATACCTTCCCGCGTAAGGACTCATCCCCACATTCGAAGCTTGCGTACCCATTCGTTGGACTAGGCATCGTCTCCATGGAACATACCTGGCCTAGCACTTCGCAGCATTGTCCTAAAGCTGCAACTACGAACTCAATGAAGCAACGCCAGGACCGCGGAACACGATCCAAATCGTGTTCATCCACACGAAATACTCGATCAACCACAGCAGCTACACGCTCTTCAATACCAGCAACGAGTTGTGCCTTTGGGTCCTCTTTTAAAGTCCACTCCGGAGTGCTTGCAGCCCAACTAGAGAGATGTTTCTGCAGGCAAGCGAGGGTGTCAAAGAACGCTCTTAACGTGCCTTCTTGTCGTGGGTTAACGTCAGCTACTACGTCTCCTAACCGTCTTGAGAAATCGGCAGCGATACGTTCGAGAAGAACTTGATACACTTCAGTTATTATCGACGTTCTAACGTCTTTATTCTCTTGCGGAACAGCAGATATCAAAGGTAAAAACCGGACAATTAGCGAATCTTCCGTCAGTCTCCTTAAAAGCGGCTCAAGTAGCAGCGATTTCGACTTCGGTAACTTATCAATAAGCCACAGATCACGTCGACAAAGCAGGCCACACGAATGTTCCGGGTTGTCTCTTGCGAGCTCGTGCATCGTGTGCATACAGAACTGACGCTGAAGACATTGACACGGGAAGAAGAGCTCAAATCCCTGCATCAACGTGGCCACAGCGTCTTCCGCAATTCTACCGACATGTTCGCCTTCATTTGGTGAATTTTCGAGAATGTTACAAACATTCCGTCGACTTTTGAGGTCAACGAGCGATAGTAACACGTCACGAACTTGAAGAATTGCTACGCGCATACGCACTAGCTCAGTGTTACGTGACGTGGCGTCTGAAGAGACTAAGATGACTGTCTTGGCCAGGCCGGATCGTAACATTTGCGACAGATTCGCTTGGAGAATGCGCAGAGTTGCCAGGATCATGTACATCTGAAGTCGTGGAGAAGAGAAACACGCCGCTAGCTGAGCGTTTGTCTCCATCTTCTTCGTACTGAGATGTTTCAATAAAACCGCGAGACTTTCAAACGTAGCACTGCAATTATGGATCGCAAACGTCTCAAATGTTCCGTCGAAAGTGAAGCTTGCATCGAACGAGCAATTTGACCTCGTTAGTGTGTCAATGGCACTAAATGACGGATGCTGTAACATGGGGTAACTTCCTGCTTTGGGGGTAAAAGGCTGACATAATCGATCGAGTTGTGCGAGTATTACAACAGCCACTGACAGGGCATCTGTTGAGTCCGTGGAACTCGAATTTCCTCTGTCTTCATCTCGAGAATCCTCCATTGCTGGCACTTCAACAGCAGTCTCCATGTCATTAAACCCAGGCATTTCCGGGTCGAGTAGTAGCTGGACGGTCGCAGAAGACAGGATGGTCGAATGTGTGATCCCGCTAGAAGCACTCACCTCTTCCTTTTCATTTCCCGAATCTCGCTCGTTCTTGTCGTCCTCTTTCCCTCCCGTAAGGACTACAGTGTGGTAAAAACCGGCAGCAACCAACGCGACTCTCTTCCCCACAAAATCGTCAATAGGAAATGGGTACACCCGTTCAGTCGTATCCCCTGTACCCAATTGGCCGTGGTTATTACGCCCGAAAACGTACATTACGCCGTTATCCGAGACAGCGATTGTATGGTAACATCCACATGCTATACGGACGATATCTTTCCCTTCTAACTCGTCAATTAACCTCGCATTCGAGAATCTCTGCTGCTGAAGCTGGAGATTACTCGTCGAGCTCGCATTCGAGCGACCCAGACCGAGTTGGCCGTAGTCATTCCGCCCAAAGGCGAACAAATGCGCCCCACTACAGAGAGCTATCGTATGGTAATACCCGCATCGAATCTCCAGACATTCTTGGCGTTCCAAGCCGCCTCGTACCTGTACAGGAGCGAGTTGGTTCTCCATAGTGTCAATACCCAATTGACCGTAATCATTTTTCCCAAAAGCGAAGGCTTTACCACTAGCTGTGACCACCATCGTGTGGTATTGTCCACATGCGACCGAAACGATTTGTTGGTCACTCAAAGCTTCGACGAATTGAGGAATTTTACGATCAATGGAGTCATTGTGACCCAATTGGCCGTAGTCGTTGCGTCCAAAAGTGTACAGATTCTGCAGATTTCCGTCCTCACAGGCCAGCACAGTATGGTAATAGCTACACGACACCAGTCGTACAATTTTATTCTCCAGACTTCGAATAATCTTCGGAACACTTTCGCTTGTCGTGTTGCCGTGCCCCAATTGGCCACGATAGTTGTACCCACACGTCGCTACCCGTCCATCCGTACTGACTAGAATTGTATGTTCGCATCCATTGTACGCGTGAGCTTGAGAACTCCCACTGTCCATCTTTGGAATTTCGCTTAAATGACTCACTCGAGCGGTCCCTCCTTGTCCACATTGGCCATTGTCGTTATACCCGCACGTGAAAACTTTGCCGTCTGCAGTCAACACGACCGTGTGTTCGTTCCCAGCGCCGATCTGAATAATTTCCTTCTGTTGAAGTGCCTGGATCCGCTCGAAAGATTTCCGTGACGCCGTGTCTCCATGTCCGAGTTCTCCGTACGAATTCTGTCCACAGCTCCAGACTTCTCGTTCGCCCTCGTCTTCGTGGAATATCGTCGTATCATTCGACACAAACGCGTTCGGTGGTTTCCCTCGTGTCGGTACAGAAGCTTTGACACGGTCCAGCTCTACAAGTACGCACTGGACGTTGAGCGTTCGAAATTTCGGACACCTCGCGGTAAGGACTGGCGTGTCACTCTTAGTCGAGTCCCTCATCTTGGTCATATCCAGCGACAGACTTGCGTTCATCACCAACGCGTCCTTGAGCTCTTCCTTTGTCCTCTGTATATTCACGAGGTTGTTGCCTGGACTACTGTACAGCAGTCGATGATGCATTGCGAGACTCACAGTATGAGCACTCGTTTTGACCCCTTTCAATGTTTTTTTCTTAAACGTTTCCTGCGTCGTGCTATCTCCCAAGATTTCCGTTTGTGGTTTATTGGAATACGGACAAGACGCTCCAGGTTTAAAGTGTATCTGCGTCAAATCGTCTTCTCGTTTGGAATTAGGGAGGAGCTCCTCACTGCGCACAGTTCTGAGTGACGGGACGGAGGACGTGAGTAGCGAACGTGACGAAAGTCGTAGATCTTTCATCGACTCGGACGCGTTGTTGTTAACACCGAGAAGCACTTTAAGGACCACTAAGAAGTCTCTAATTGAGCCTGTGGCTGCGGCAAGGTGGATCAAGCCATTCACTGCGTTAGTACGGTCCATTACATCCTGTTCCGTGTTTCCAGACGAGATAGCCGGTAGTTTGGGGGACGTCGTAGGGAGTGTATAGGAGCGTGGACACATATCCAGCAAGAAACGCTGGATCTTGTCCGTAAACTCCGAGATCTCAGCTTCGGGTGAACATGTAGCCATACTGCGTGATGAGCCCCGAACGGTACCACTATGTCGTCTTGAACAGAGAGCTAGAAAGCCCACGGAGCGTAGAAATGGCAGTAGATCTTCAAGAAACTCGCGTCTTTGAGTCACTGTAGCATCGTGTAAGTCGTTCAGTAAAGACACGAGCACTTGGATGCCTAGTGTTGCTTCCCTCGTCACTTTGTCCTTAGGTTTGGTTGGTCCAAAAAGGCCGACCGGGTCTTCTACAGTATCCGGCGGTAGTACAGTGTTCTCCAAGCTTTTCACGATGGATATATTCACTTGAACTGCTGCTATCCAGTGTCGATGCTGAGCAGCTACCGCCTCGTGCATGCTCTTCATTAATTGACGACGTAAGGCGATTAGCTGGTAGATTGGATTCGGGAACGTGCAGACCCAACGCAGTGCCTGTTTTAGGTCGGCTACCATGACGGCGGCCAGTTCTGGCTGCCGGAGGCGTCCGAGCACACACAGCGCGTTCGTGAGCTCCCGTTCATTCCGGTCTTCATTGTCGGTGGCTGCATCCGTCGTCGTGTCCTCTTTCGCGTCGAGTTCGTCGTCTTCCGACACCCTTCGGGCCGCTTTCGTCTGTGCCGCAAGCAACCGTTGACGGATGGTCCTGTCCGGCACTGAGAGCGCCGTCTCATTATGTGCTGAACGACCTGTTCGACGGGCGCCTTGCGTAATTTCGATGCGTCTCAGTTGTTTGGCCAGGAATTCCTCGTCTCTCAGCTGGGCGAAGGTCAGACGACCCCACCGCAAGTCTGGACGTCCAGTAGTATTGGATGCGGCACTACGAGGCTCGTAGCCGGTGCCGGTGGCCGTCCCCGCGTCGCCACGCTGCATGGTGTGAGTCCTGCGATCACGAGAGGGAAATAGAACGACCGTTGGCCAAGTGCCTACTCGCCGCCCCTCCGATCGGACGATTTCAGCTCGATCTCCGTGCCATTCGGTCACCACCAAAGGTGCCGGATTCGAAGCAGAGCAATCCAGTCAATGACTTGAGCTCGCCACCTTTGTTCGCACCATCGTTTGAAGAAGATGACAATGCGCTCGTTCTCGTCACTTAACAATTTACTGCGTTGTTGCATGCTTCATCAACGATGACGCTGCCTAAGACACTTTTCTCGTTTTTCAGTCTCGTTGTAGCACTGCAAGTTGCCTCGGGGATCGAGTACACTGACACCGGCATCGCTATTGTCGGTACGACGGAACTTCTGGACGTCAACGTGACGGCCGGAACTTCTCACGAAGATCTCATCTCGTACGAGTTCGCGACTTATATCGCCGTCCATTTCGCCGGCTTTAACCTGCCGGAAGGAGATTCGGTGGTCATCAGCTCCCCGGACGTGAATGTCGCGGTGTCACACACGTATACCGGTCGGGGACGACAACAGACCGGAACGTTCATCGCCAGTTTCGTGCCGGGTAATTCCGTCACCGTCACGTACACGTCTGTCGGACCGGCCTCTGCCGGTCAGGGATACCGTATCACGGGATTCTCTCGTGGTTACCCGACGATGCATCACGAGTCGGTTTGTGGCGATGGAGATCAGTCGCTTCCGGCAAAATGCTACGCGCCCGGCACCAACCTGTCCGAACATCTACCTGATGCGTATACAAAAGCTCAAGCTGTCGCCCGTCTACTGGTCAACGGCACGTACCTGTGCACCGGTTGGCTTGGTGGCAGTGAAGGACACTTGTTCACGAACCACCACTGCTTTGAGCAAGAAGACTGGGTGCTCACGACCGACATTGAGTTCGCTGCTGAGAGCTCGTCGTGTAGCGAACAGTGTGAGACACAGCTCGGCTGTCCCGGAACGCTCGTAGCCACGGCATCGACCCTTATCGCCGACAGTGAAGACATCGACTACTCGGTTGTGCAGCTACCGGACTGCGTCGACCTCTCTCCGTACGGATATCTGCAAATGCGTGAGTTTGGCCCGGTAGTAAACGAGTCGATCTACGTGCCGCAGCATCCGGACGGGTACGCGAAGCGCATCGTGAGCACTGTCGACCGTGGAGACAGCACGACAGTGCTAAGTGTCGGCAAGGACGGAAACTGTGGGACCGAACAGGTCCGACACAACGCAGATACTAAAGGCGGCTCGTCCGGCTCACCGTTGATAGCTTCGAAGGATAATTTGGTGGTTGGGATCCACCATTGTGGCGGTTGTGCGAACACGGCGATCGACGTGCGTACTGTACTGGCGGACTTGGCGTCGAAGAATATCACAATACAGAACCTCGTGGCAACGGTGGGAAGCAGTCAGCCGAAGTACGCCCAGACGCCGTGTGCTGCTCAAAAGCCCAAGAACGCCACGGCTCCAGGGCAGAATCATAATATGCCATGCCACGGATCGAATATGACCAACGTGACGACGACGACGTCGAACAGTACGCTGATAGTCACGACTTCGAACAGCTCGATTACCACGACGTCCAACTCGCCCACGCTCTCGCCTTTAGTGGCAGCAACAGTGTCGATTGCAGACGCTAAGAACATACCATCTCCAAACACTGACACGACGTCAACTTCAACTGTAACGTCCAAAAGCTCGGCTGCACTCACGTCTGCCTCCGTGGTGACATCGTCAAAATCTACTGAATGGGCTTTATCTGATTCTGCGACGACTCCAACTACGTCGACAAGCTCCTCAAATACGACAACAATTACCAGTACAAATACTACATCTGCATCGACTACGGTGAAGACGGCAAGTAGAGAACTGATTGATTTTGGATCAGCTTCTGCAACTTCGCCTACTTCGCCTACGGCAGCGAATACTGTGGATAATGACTTAATCGTGGGAAAGCTCAAGGCTGCGGTTGGGATCAAACCCGAATGTACGCCCAACTCGACACCGGCGGCTAGTGTCACTGCAACGCCGAAACCTATCGCGCCCATTCCGACACCAGCTACATCGGAGACAACGACCCCAATGCCGACCACGCCGAACCCGACGTCGGCATCGAGCGTGACAATGACGCCGAAGACACCATCGCCCAACCCGACGCCGGCGGCTAGTGTGACTACAACGCCGAGACCTACCACGCCCAATCCCGACGCCAGCTGCATCGGTAACAACGAACTCAATGCCGACCACATCGAGCCCGACGCTGACGTCTAGCGTGACAACAACTACGAAGCCACCTTCGCCCATCCCGACACCAGCTACATCGGTGACAACGACCCCAATGCCCACCACGCCGAACCCGACGCCGGCATCGAGCGTGACGACGACGCTGCAGCCACCATCGCCCAACCCGACGCCGGCGGCTAGTGTGACTACAACGCCGAGACCTACCACGCCCAACCCGACACCAGCTGCATCGGTGGCAACGACCCCAATGCCGACCACGTCGAGCCCGACGCTGACGTCTAGCGTGACAACAACGCCGAAGCCACCTTCGCCCAACCCGACGCCGGTGGATAGTGTGACTGCAACGCCGAAACCTATCGCGCCCATTCCGACACCAGCTGCATCGGTGACAACGACTGCAATGCCGACCACGCCGAACCGGACGCCGGCATTAAGCGTGACGACGACTCCGCAGCCACCATCGCCCAACCCGACGGCGGCGGCTAGTGTGACTACAACGCCGAGACCTACCACGCTCATCCCGACTCCAGCTACATCGGCGACAACGACCCCAATGCCGACCACGCCGAACCCGACGCCGGCATCGAGCGTGACAATGACTCCGAAGACACCATCGCCCAACCCGACGCCGGCGGCTAGTGTGACTACAACGCCGAGACCTACCACGCCCAACCCGACGCCGGCTGCATCGGTGACAACGACTGCAATGCCGACCACGCCGAACCCGACGCCGGCATCGAGCGTGACAACGACTCCGAAGACACCATCGCCCAATTCGACACCAGCGGCTAGTGTGACAACCACGCTGAAGCCTACCACACCGTGCCCGACACTGGCTGCATTGGTGACAACGACGCCAAAGCCTATCTTGCCCAACCCGACACCGGCGACTAGCGTCAGTTTAGCTTCGAAACCTGTGACAGGTAGCAGGGATAACTGGGGGGATCCTGTTCAACACTAAATACCTCTCGCGGTGTCATCCATTCGAGACCTCTGGCCTCCTCTGTAAGCTGCGAAGGAGCCCCTGTCCGTGATTTTAGATTCTTTAATCATTTCTATTTCTTTTTCACAAAATGCTACCTGGTAGTAGTATGTCTATCGGTCTGATTGTGCACAAGGATCGCGACGAGATTTCGCCTTTTACTCACCATCGTTTGCGAAGCTTGTTGTCCTTGTAGGCTTACAGCGAAAAGTCCTCATACGTGAGGTTATGCCATCCTACGACGAGCGCCTCGGTCGTAACCAAAGAAGAAACCGCCAGGTGGTGCGAACATGCAGACGATGACGGGATGGCTTCTGATCAACGTACAGCTTTTTTCTCGCCATCCGAGTAAGTCTGAAAAAAAAACCAATGACGGACCGGTATTCTTCACTACCTACAGTGCAGTGAACCACCTCGGTTGTTTGGTTGGTGCCTTGACCAGCGGCTACGTTGCTGATCGATTCGGCCGTCGTGCTACGATATTCTCGGCTATCACCTTCTGCGTTGGCACTTGCTGGCTGTGTCTTACCCCGTTTTAAGAACACACGGTGATTTTGTTATTCCGTCTCATTGGAACCATCTACTGCTCGGAGATCGTCCCGCTGAGCGTTCGTGCATGCTACGAACTCGGTACAATCATGACAGCAGTAGTTCCGGTAATCGAACTTTAAGATCTACGGCGTCTTGCGGGCCTTGCCGACATCCAGACAGATTACACGTCGACTTCAAAAAAAATGAACCTCGTTATTTAAAAAAACGTTGCTGCCCACAGTTTGACCACTGATAGGAGGCGACTGATGAGAGCTGCGCGACCAGTGAACTTTAAAAGGGTCGATTACCACTAAGCCGCATCGTGAAGTGCCTTAACAAACCCATCGGCGAATGTTTACTACATGTAAACTTAAACCTCTTCTGCCGATGACAATTGTTTAGTGACGTTCCTAGAGTCTGACAGAGAAGTACCCGGCACATGTACGGCATGTTGTTCGACAGGATAGTGCACAACGTCGGGATCTCCGCATGCATTCCGCTACATCTTCCAAGACAACAAGGTCCGCTTTCTGAAGTTGTCACCGTCTCAAATGCAGGATTGCAGTTTTTGTCTCGCAGACGACACTCAGAGACGGGCCCGGTCACGCTTGACAGGCCATCCTGAAGCAGAGGCAAGACTATGCGCCTGGTTCTGAAGGTCCCGAGCCGACGATGGAGAAATGCGCCGAGCGTGGACGCCTCGATTCATTCCTGCGCACGTACGATCATTCCTGAATTTGCTTTCGGACAAGGAGCATCTCCTCTCGGACATCTTGACGACTCAGTGCCACGTAACCAAGCTCTGGTCCCACATGGCGCCCAGCGTGAGCCGGCACTTCACACCTGCGGCGGACACCCCGACGACGGGCAGTACGCGCTACGCCATCATCGTGTGCGCGTTCGCTTCGCTCGGTGGGTTTTTCTTCGGCTACGACCAGGGTGTGACGTCCGGCGTGTTGATTATGGATTCGTTCCTGAACGACTACTGCGTCGGGTGGCACAACTTCACCTACGATGACTGCACCCGGTCGTCTTCGGACATCCCGGGACAGTGGACGAGCTTCACCGTGTGGTACAACATGGTCTACAACCTTGGTTGTCTGGTTGGTGCTCTGATTGGCGGCTACGTCGCGGACAGGTACGGTCGTCGAGCTACGATTTTCTCCGCCGGCGTCCTGTTCTGCATCGGGACGACGTGGGTTTGTCTAAACCCCGCACAGGATCACACGCTCATGTACATTGCGCGTATCGTACAGGGCTTCGGCGTCGGCAACTCATCGTTCTCACTCCCACTGTTCGGATCTGAGATGGCCCCGAAGGAGCTGCGCGCGCGTCTGTCCGGTTTGATGGTGCTGCCCGTCACATTCGGTCAGTGGCTCGCTAACCTTATCAACATCCTCGTCATGGACGACAGCAACGGCTGGCGTATTAGTAACGCCGTATCGATGATCCCTTCGGTGATCGTCATGTGCGGCATCTTCTGCGTGCCCGAGAGTCCTCGTTGGACGTGTCAGCAGAAGGGCAGGGAAGAGGCTGAGGCGGTTCTTAAGCGGCTACGACAAACGGACGACGTGCGCCATGAGCTCGAAGCGATCGGTACCCAGATTAACCAAGAAGAGACTGGGAACAAAGACATGGCTGGACTGTGGGAACCCACGGTGCGACGACGTGTGTTCATCGCCATGGCGCTACAGCTCGGCCAACAGGCGACTGGTATCAACCCCATTATGACGTACGGGTCGCTTATTTTTCAAGGACATCACAGGTGCCGGTCTCTACGCTTCGCTCCTTCTAAGCGGCGTCAACTGCTTGAGTACCACACCTGGTTTGATTTGGTTGGATAAGTACGGACGCCGCTATATGGCCATGATCGGCGCTGTAGGCATGGTGATCGGCCACCTGTTCGCTGCTATTCTGTTCACGGCGATCTGCGACGGCAACGTCGACGACTCGGGCTGCCCTTCAGTCGGCGGATGGTTTATTTGATTTGGTACAGCTTTCTTCGTCTTCAGCTATTCCGTGTCTTGGGGCGCTCTACCTTGGATCTCCTGCTCGGAGATTTTCCCACTCAACGTACGTGCGTCTGCTGTGTCTGTGGCTACTGCAGCCAACTGGATCGGTGGTGCCGCCATGACGGAAGTCGTCAAGCTCTTCCCGTACCTGAACATCAACGGTGTATTCTTCATGTTCGCTGGACTCGCACTACTATGCGGCCTGTTCATCTACTTCTACTGCCCAGAGACCAAGGGCATTCTACTTGAGGACATCGAGACACTCTTCAGCCGCAGTAACCACACGGCTATGTCACCGTCCTACGGCGCGGTCAAGACCCCTGTGGCTGCTACCGACAAGAGCCCAGTTGCCCAATGGCCTAAGATTTTTAAAACCTGTCAATCAATTTACTACAACTGCGAATTTGTCGTGATGCGCAAATAACTACTATTGTAATATTAAATCCTGTAGTAGTAGTATTTCAAGCTGTCGAACTAAAGACACAATTCTGTAAAATAGCAACTACTACCGGTAATAGTAAATTGAGCTATCAGGTAGTAATTTAGAGGCCTTTTGCGTTAAATATACTTTTAATGCCAAAATGCTAAGCTTTTGAGCACAGTTGCAAGAAAGAAACGGGTGCATATCGGCAATGAGCAAAAATAATAATTGTGGAAGAGGAATATCTAGATACCAAATCTTTTTTAATTTGTACCAATTTATTTTTTCAAGCACTGGAAGCCTACCGTCTTACCCCGCATATAAGGCATATGTGCTATAAATAAATACAACACTGCTTGTGTGTTATATTCGTTTAGAAAGCCTATGTGTTGTACAGCGAACAAATTATTTGACTTTGAAGAATGGGTCCTAGAATCTTGCTTGGTCGCTGAGGCTTGACCCTCCTACGCGATCGGTTAGGGTTCAAACCCTCCTGCGTGCAGTTCACATGATGTGGTGATTGGTAACGGGTCTTCTCTTTCTGTTGTGGCTGCGTTGTATACGGAGGTTTTGCTTGTTAGTATTATGAATTCTATAAAAAAAAATCTGTTTATAAGAATCGTTTGCATGAATTACATGTAATCACGTGTATTATACTTAAGTACTATGTATCCATCTACTTTCACTGCAAAATATGATCCGGAGCGAACCAAGCACAGCGTTTTCAGAGGATTTTCAACCGTGTACGAGAATTTGGACACCAGCTTATTGTCCTTGTCAACAGTACTTACCTATAGCTACGTCGCTCAGCACTCATGGCTGTGTAAATTATAAAATAAGAGAATTAAAGCCAAGTAACAGCAGCACCGACAAGTTTGTTGAGAAGGGTGGTTAGTTGGAGCTCTCAAGAATATTCATTGGTTGGTACAGCCTTGTGTTGTAACTAGGTTTCAGCCACATGTGTTCTAATTAGGTAGGTGGTCAAATTGAGGTTTAAGCTAGATGTCGAGCGAATCCCGTATTTTATTTAGAGCACATATGCCTTATATGTGGGGTAAGACGGTAGTACATGTATTAGTACTGTTGATGCTACATGATCTTACTCTTGCGCATGTATAATACATTGTATTAGTATTGTTGAATCAACAGTGTTGATGCTACATTATCTTACTCCCAGATTTGCTTGCGCTTGCCCGTCCTGGTTAACGAAGGCTGTCGGAGCTCTCCGTTGCTGTAGCTCCGCGACGTCTTGTCCTCTAAACCTATATCGAAGCTCCAGCTTCCACTTAGGACTATTCGCTGTAGCAGCTTCAGCTCTTTCGCTATCTTGAAGCGGCATAATTTTTGTAACACGCCACGTCACCAATCAGACACTCCTCGGAAATCCTTGCTCCGTCGAATACGGCGCACAACTCGCGCGAATCCCAAAGTAATCGTGCAAACACCTCGAGAAAGTCTACTTCGAAGTCGAACGAAACGACGTAGTGACTCTGCGTGTCGAAGGTGAAGTCGATCCTCCCAACACCATTGCACACACGCCCCAGCAGCTTCGCCGTGATGCGTGGGTATTGACGGATTTTACGTTAGGGAACATGACTTCCAAGGTGGCTCGCGTCACGACGTGTCTATAACTCGCGTAGGACGTCACAATCGTCCGTCCTTCCGCTGAAACTACTTGAGACCGCAAGTAGTGAAATTCGAGCTCCGAAAGAGCTTTCGTGTACTGCTCCCATTGATGCAGCATCACTTTACGTCCGTTGAATCCACCGATACGCAGGTTCTCGTCCATGACTTGGATTACGGGTCAAGCAAGGCGCCCGGGTGATAACCGTTCTCAAACACGCGGTGGTACTCTTGCACTGTCTTGACGTAATAGCCATCCAGTGCATCCCGACGATTGAAAGTCCGTGCACTAAGTATTTGCTGGTATTCAGTCAGTCGTTGGATTTCCTGTCGAAGATCCATGACGTCCAGCTCCAAGTTATAGAGCTGCGAGGCTTGAGAATCTCGCGTCCGCCACTTGAGCTTTTTGCGTTGATCGGGAGCTCTTCTCGCAGCGGCGAGTGCTGCGACGGCAGGAACACGCGGAGCTAGCACGGGTCGATACCGTACTGGTGTTACGCCAAAGGTTTCGGAGACCGAAATGTTCGTGTTCAGTGTTGTCGGGCGAGATATTGTGAATGCCTGGCGAATTCACAACTGACTGAGTCATGTGAATATTTGTCGCCGGTCGGTCGAGTTGCTATTCGATTGTTGGCTTCGGGCGTTTTTTGTTTCGCTCATTCACCACTACAGTTTAAAGTTTGCGGAGATTATTTTTATGGGGTCCCACTACTAACAACGCCGCTTTCTGGAGTTGTGCTGGGTCGAAGATCAAAAACGTACTTGTACAAAAGTTGGACTTACCAAATACAAATACTTTGGCGCAATCTTCTGGACTCTCCTTTTCTATCCGGTCGTGTTTGGAAGCTTCTTAAACTTGCCTGTCGTTAATAAAAGAAAAGTATTTTGTTGTTGTTGTCATTGAGATCAGTTGCTCGTTTTTTATTGGAGCATAGGTATCATTTACCGGTAGCTAACTACCATGAATAAACCACAAAAGACCGAGCAGAATACTCTATTTCTATTTCATTTCAAATTGAAAGAGCATGATAAATATATAAAGCTTGTTGCAGTTTTTTTTATTAGTTTGAAGAAAACAACCAAAATAAAAACGCTGGGACCAGTAGGAATGCCTCATTCTTGTCACTTCAACATGGCACAGCGCGAGTTCATCTCTACCGGTATCACTGGCATTCTCGTCAAATATGTTACTTTTATGGATAGACATTTTGTTAGTGCTGCATGTGAGCTTGGCCGCATTCGTCTCAGCGTGAAGATCAGTATTCGCCGCTCATTCACGTTGGTTGCTCACGAGCAGCGAACACGCCTTAGTCATACCAGTGTTCTTTTCTCATTCATCCATTATTACATGGACGTCGCAACAGCGAAGTTGACGCTGAACACACGCGCTCTTGTCCCGTGTCTCACTACAGTTACGGACCAGCGTGGCATGGTACAACAGGTGTGTAATGAAAAAATCACCTCAACTTGGACGGAATCGTTGGAATTCGTCTCTGATTTCTGCAAGGGAAAACGCGCGTGACCCACAAAAAAGACTTCCACTTCATGACACGATGCACCTACTCCCAAATCTCCTTGCGTCTGCCCGTCCTATTAGTCAACGAAGGCTGTCGCCACTCTTCGTCGCTATGCCCTGAAGGCGTCTTATCCTCTAAATCTGTATCGAAACTGGCCTCTGTCTTTTTCTCAACTGTAGCTGTCGCAATTGTACCAGCGTTTGGACTCGACGTGACCTCCCCGTAGCCGGTAACGTCCCCGATCAGACATTCCTCGGTGATCCTTGCTCCTTTGAAAATGGCACAAAGATCGCGCGGGTCCTGAAGCAAACGAGAAAACTCTTCGAGGAAGTCTAGTTCGAAGTCAAACGAGATAATGTTGTGCGTCTGCGTGTCAAAGACGAAGTCAAACTTGCCAACGCCTTTGAACACACGCCCCAACATCTTCGTCACAATGCGTGGATATTGTCGTAGTGCTTCAGGGAACATGACTTCCACAGTGCCTCGTGTTACGATGTGTTTGTAGCTGGCATAGGACGTGACGACCGTGTGCCCTTCCATCGAGAGGACTTGAGAGCGCAGGTAGTGAAATTCGAGGCCGGAGAGCGCCTTTGTGTATTGTTCCCACTGATGCAGCATCACGCCACGTCCGCTGAACCCACCGATACTCAGGTTCTCGTCCATAGTTTGCATAACGTACTGAGTCGCATCAAGCGGGGTGCCTGGACGATAGCCGTTCTCAAATACACGGTGGTACTCTTGCACTGTCTTGACGTAGTAGCCATCCAGCGCATCACGACGATTGAAAGTGCGGGCGTCGAGAATTTGCTGATACTCTGCCAAGCGTTGGATCTCCTGTTGAAGATGCATGACGTCCAGCTCCAAGTTGTAGAGCTGCGAAGCCTGGGAATCGCGCGTCCGCCATTTGAGCTTCTTGCGTCGATTGGGGGCTCTTCTCTCTGCGGCGAGTGCTGTGACGGCTGGTACTCGCGGTGCGAGAACAGGTCGAGATCGTACTGGAGTCACGTCAAAGGTGTCGGCTATGGCATTGAACGGATGCATCGCTGCTTGGCGAGATGTCGTGTACCTTTGGCGAATTCTCGACTGATTGTTTTCTGTCGGAGTTGCCATTCGACTGTTATTATCCCGGCCACCAAACCTTGGACAAACTTTGGTCCAAAAAAGGTAACCCTTCCCTTCACAAAACCCATAACGATAGTTAGATATAAGGGGCGTAGATTCCGATTTTGAGGTCTATTTTTGCGTATCTGCAACCATTGATCTCCCAATCGGCCGTTTAAAAAAGGCTCTATATCTTGCAGAATTGTTTGCAATTGTGGGCTTGGCACGTACTAACATGCATGCATATTCATTGGCAGAGCCGGGATAACAGGTGGGGATTTTCAGAACCGGATGGATAAATTCCAAATATTACCGCAATTTGACGATAGTTAGAAAATTATAAACTTGTTAAAAAGAACCAGTCAAAAGAATATCTAGAGTGTAAAGAACATACAACGGGTCACCCGTTCATATTCCTAATCGGCTACAGCTTCATTGTCATCGACGGCGTCATCCTCTTCCGTGTCCTCTTTGCTGCCCTCTGGTTCCGATGCAATTTCGCATTCATCACTTTGCTGCAGATATTTTGTCTGGAGGCCTCCCAGATGGTTTTGGACCTTCCATCTGTCATAATTAATTTGTCGACCACTGAAATGATAAATATCAATAATAACTGAAATGATATGAAGTACAGCCTACCGAGGTGAAATTCTTGTCGTGGTGCTGCTCCCAGTGCGCCCATATAGCTGAAATGGTGCCCGTAGCAAAGCCTAAACACTCTTTGACATGATAACGAACTCCTCCTTTCCATAGATGCGGTGCAGAGGCCTTCTTTTGGCGGAGGAACTCGTAGGTCTTCACAACCAAGTACTTCTCAGCAGCAGTCAATTTCTTACCGGCGACCATTTGAAAAGTAGTGAACATTATTAGATGCTGTGAAGTTCTTACGAGAATAAATAGACACCAAGCTATCTATTAAGGGGACACACAACGAAATCGGCTCTACGGTTGCGGAGTTACATTCCTCTAATTTAAGATAAAATATATTACCATTTTTGTCCAAGCCTTTTTGGCCGGGATAATAGCTTCGGGCGTTTTCTGTTTCGGTCGCTTACGTCCCATCGCCAGCATATGAAGTTGCGGCACGCAAATACCTAGGGGAAGTACAGAGCACACCTTTCGAATGAGGAGCACGAAATACCCTCTGGATTCAGTACTGAAATGGTTGCATCGTGATGGGCCCCGATTGTCAAGAGGATCAGCGCCACACACCAGTTTACCTACTGTCGCGAGGACACCTACGGTATGATAGGACGGGGAATTCAGGTCCAGCGGGTACAAGTGCAAATTTCACTACAAGGATCAAACATCTATATATCTCAGACAGCATTAAAAAGAATTGCTCGGGTTGGAAGTTGGGGCCTAAAGCACATGATTCGAGGCGCAACTTGAAAAAGGCTGAATTCCTTTTGGTTAGCTCCAAACAATTAAAGCTAGAAGACGTGGTTGTGACATCCTCGTTCCATAATAAAAAGACTGACTGGAGAACCAATTAGCTTGGGGGATTTGCGAACGCGACAAACCGGTAGCTTACTGCCACAAGTTGCAGGGTTTGGAGACCAGAACACCACGAGTGCTGTGCCAATCGACTGAACTCAGTCGGGCCTGGGTCCTTAGCTTTATCTTCTTGTTCGCGCGTGACCAGTCGGACAAAGATGTAACAGCGAAAGCTGGGCCCAGTGTGCTGAACCGATTGCATTTTTGCAAGCGGCGAACTCTACTTGTTTACGGGGGAATATAATAGCAATGTCCGCGTAAGGGGCAGGTGTAGAGGTTTATTTCCTACACAACCGGTGGGTAACCCATCGGGCTGTAAGCTTCACGCCACAAACAGAATATGCCACAGTGTCCACAGGGCGGCTATTCGCTCCACAAGGCTAGCGCCTGTCGCCAGAGACACGGAAAAACTTCCTGCACGCATTTCCGGACCGATGGTATCAACATTCACGTCTCAGTAACGACACCAAATGTGGATCGGCGATTCATCGTTCCGGTTAAGGTTTGGACATGAAGCAAATCGATGGGTCAGGGGCCCGAAGAACCCTTAATAAAACTCTTTATTATGAAGAGCATCGTGGGCCAGTCTTTTCGGCGTTCGCAGATATCACGCTGCACAACAACTGCTCCATTCTGTTCAGTATGCTCCATGTATTGATTTTAATTATTAGCTGAACGATTTATAAAAAATGACCAAAATTGCTCAGATTGCCCTAAATCTGAGACGTCGTCCCAGAATCTACTCCACAGATAGCTGAGCTAAGGTGCCTTCCAGATTATGAAGGAAGAGGGCACTCGGTGCTCCTACTTGATCTCGCCGTCATCGCGGCAACAAAGGACCAGCTCATTATTTTAATAGAGCTGATCTTGCCCCGTTACGTATTGAAACTGCGGACAAAGTTTCTCAAAATTTTAGCGTAGCGCAGATTGCCCAGGTTCCTAGGCGTACTACTAATGAAACCTGGGCAATCTGCGCTACGCTAAAATTTCATGGAAAACACCTACTGGTCACCACGAAGGCGTTTTCTGACTTTTTCTATGCCGAAAAGGCAAACTCGAGGTTTCCATGAAAATGTACTGAGCTCGCAACTTGCGACTGTCACGAGCGCTCATTCTGAATCTGGCAAAGAGTTGCACGTGGCCATGAAGATTCACTGCGCTGTGTTGGCTGCCGCGTCGCTGTTGGCGGCGCTACCGACGAGTGCAAGCTCAGAGATCGCAGCTCCCATCCGGGTGGCGACTACCGAAAAGCGGATCTATCTTCGTCGATCTCTGTCGGATACGACGACTGGCGAAGAGGAAAATGGCATCAACAATGACGAGTCGAACGCCTTGAATGAGGCAGAGGAAGGATTTGAGGAGGAAAAGAACCTGCAAACGAAAGCTCCAACTACTGACACTAAATTCGAATCCGAAGAAGAGGTTTTCGATGAACTGGAAGAGAACATTGAAATTACACCGACTAATCCACAAGAAACGTCGGACGAGGTTGAAGAAGAAGAACTCGACGAGGAAAACGAGAACTTGACATCGACGTCGACGAGCTCGTCTAACGAGTCATCTGTCAATGTGGGTGACGCTGAAGAAGAAGACCAAAGCCCTCAAACCCCCGAAGTAATTACCACAACAACGGTTAATCTAGATGAGGTGGTTGATGAAGCTATGCGAGAAGAGAAAAGTACCGAAGCCCCGATAAATTTATCAACGACGACTGTTGCTGAAGCAAAGACGAAATCTGAAGGCAAGAGCGTGCAAACGTCGTCTAGTTGCTCACGGACGGAGGCGGTCTCTTCTACCGAGGCACCAGTTGAGGTGTCTGACACTGAGAATGAAGAAGAATCTGAGGAAGATGAGCAAAACACTGAAAACCTCACGACGAATCTAAAAACTGAGACCCCGACGGTCGCTGAAGCCGAGGGACAAGCGTGCGGGACCGAAGACAAGAGCGTGCGAACCCCTTCGACTGACGATCAGACGACGGATTCAACTGAGGGTGAGGCTGAGGATGAAGAGGACAGTGAGTCAGAGGACTCTAGCGACGAAGACTCAAGCGACGAAGACTCAAGCGACGAGGACTCAAGCGACGAGGACTCAAGCGACGAGGACTCCAGTGACGAAGAATCTTGTGACGATTTCAAGTCTGACAACAACGAAGACAAGGATGAAGATGAAGACATGAATGAAGCTGTGGGCGACGAAGCGTTGGACAACGACACGGAGAGTGACTTAGTTGAGGAAGGCGGTGAAGGATCTACAAAATTGCGTTAGAAATTAATATTGGAACGGACCTATTAATGTATGCTTATTTCATTCCATATTAACAATTTAACTCTCGGCATATTCTACCTAGGTGAGGTCTTGTTGCCGCCACTGTTTGTCTGCGTCGGACCAGCTCACTTTGCCAGCGATCTTCTCTCCGATCTCGTGCTTTAATAAATAGTGGAAAAGTGGTTTCCCTACCATCATTTCAATCTTGTTGGCGTTCGAATGGACATTCGTGAGTGCCTGGCGTACACGGAAACTTGTTGCGCTTTCAAGTATTTTGAGCATAATAGGCTTCCCTAGCCTACTACTTTTGCGGGATTCCTGTTCTCGTCTACTGTTTTTATACCGCCTTCAACCCGAAGGATTTTGAGGGTGACGCGAACCTGTATATACAGCATACATTAGTATAGAAATTTTTATGCCTCAAGGGTTGGGCGAGATGGTTAATGAATAGGTTAGCGACGTAGATGAATATCGCGCGTTGTGCTGTATATACACCGCGAATGCGCTGTATAAGGACTGGCATTGCACAAGGATCTTGCATATCACCTCGTAACACGTGTACAGAACCAGATCGACCCCCGTTGGAATCTAGAGAGTTTTGTCAAAATTTAACAATAAAGGTGATCCAGAAAATGCAGATCAGTTGCATACTGAGATCAAGTATGCTAAGCTGAGGTACGGACGCAATCACGTGAAGTGTCTTCATCGCCAACATACAAACTAAAGGTCATATGGATAGAGACGCTCCTAGAGCCCACGCAATCATCGTATTAGAATTATGACTAGCCATCCAAAGAACGCTCACTCTCACTTTTCACTCTGAATCTTTCTCTTCTTCGGATGACGTTCGGCGGCGCTTGGCGGGCGACTTGCGCAGACGTATTTTACTGTCAGGAATGTCCGTGCCGCTCTTGAACAAGTTGTGCCAGATATCCCAGCAACTTCGCAACTCTACGTCCATGGTATGCTTTGGTTTCATGCACAGGTACACGGGAAGCGAGGTGAAGCATACATCGCAGAAGTACGTTGTAGTCCCGCCGCGTTTCCCGTTCGTCCGCAGCATGGAGCACACTTTGCAGTTGCGTTGTACACGTTTTAGCTGCCCTGAGTGTTTTCTCCACTCGTCAAATTGCTTTGCCGAATGAACGACACACTCTGCCAACACCCCAGCATCAGAAGAAGTCGGCACTTGACTAGATGCGTACTGCAGTCTGCAGGAGGAGATTGATCTACAATAGCAGTATATACATTTAGTCAAGACTGTATATATAACAAAAGACTTATCACACCTACCAGCGCCGAAGGTGTTGCCTTCATACATGTCTTCATCTTTCATGAGGATGAGGCCTAGATGCAACTTGCGGATATATTGGACATTGGTCAAAGGACGTGTTCCGTTTTGCCGCGTGAAAAGCTCTGTGTACAATGTAGCCATTGACAATAGCTAGTCCCAAAAACAGCGACTTGTAGTACTTACGGAAAGTAACTGCACGCTGCAAGGAATACCGTTGAAGGCGGAGCTGATCATGCACATCAACTCCGCCCATGAGCTTGTGGTAGTCCTAGCTTTAGGACAAGCCACTTCATGTTGCTCTCCAGTCTTTTCCCTCCTCGCAACCCTCTCAAGCGCAAGATCACTCCCGGTGCACAAGAGAAAAACTGGTTTGCTGTTCCACCACTTCATAGCAGCCATTTGCTTCACTTGTTTGGATCGAGCGGTAGTGAAAGCTCCCCGCATGATATGCTTGGGTCGTTTCTTCGGGTCCTTCTTCTTGTGTCTGATAATTGCAGCGAATCCAATTCGGTTTGTCATGATCGTGCCAACGATATAGAACCCCATCAATAGTAACTGGACAGCTAGCACCACACTGGTGTAGAAGTGATCCGTAACCACGAGCCGAAAGCCCTTGTCTTGTCCGTCAGGAAATACTGCTTTCAGGTTACGAGCTACCGCAGCAGGACCCGACTTCTTGTCCACCGAAGTCGTGTCATCAATATGTTGCTTCTTGTCTACATAGACCTCAAACCTGTATTATACAGCACATTTATACAGAATATCATAGATGTAAGATATATTATAGAGCATTTCACCTCCAAACATTGCGGCAAGTACCTGATGCAGTACGCGGAGCGGCGCGCAGCACAGCATAAACAACTTTGTGCCCCATTTACACGGTTTATCCTTCATGTACACGCGAGTCTTGTTGAACGACGACCGCGACGGTAGTATTCCTTCATCGAACACAAGCTCAGCCGGAGGTATAAAACCACGACGCAATGTGCGCTGCAGCACATGAACTACCTTCCGACTCTTCCAGGCTCTATCAGCCTTGGCGCGTGGGTCAAGGTTGCTTGAGAAGTGCAGGTTTCGGGAAATCTCCACGAAGCGGTCTCTCGTCATATAGTTAGAGAACTTGCCACGTCCGATAGCGCCTTCATCGTCCCTTTTCTAGTGGTTAGAAATATTTTCTCGATGTAGCTGCACGGTCCGAGCGAGAAGTAGCCCCATGAGCACACAGAGTTCATGGGGAAGCACAGGCGTGACTGCCATGAGTGACATGCGTACATCTCCTCGCGAACGTAGCGGAGTCTTGTCATCCGGCCGGCGACGCTGTATGTTTTTTCGATGCTCTAAGTATGCTTCAACACGCGCCTCTGTCTGCTCATGCTTGTAGTTGTTGCTGCACACAGCGATATGTTGCCAAAGTGCTACTGGCATGAAGTAGAAGAACAGCGCTAGTGGTGAATCACCACACTTCATTGCATCTGGCGTAGGTCTGAAAGGCTCCTTCCTCAAGTCCGGGTAGCTGTTTTCTTCTCCGACGGCTTCGTATGGGCGTTGCAAGTACTCGTACCTATCAGGAGATTCGGGTTCCGACCATCCAGTTGCGCTGTGCTCCCGCAGATTATTCAGGTCGTCGCCGACGACATTCCCAGCAAGCACCTTGTCTGGCCCTCCCAGTGACGCGAGAAACGTCTCGGTAAAGTGTCGCTCTGCGACAGGTTCAACTGAGTTGATATCATTACCACCTGATTCGTCATCGTCACCTTCTCTGTGCTCGACACCGACTTCGTAACCCTCGTCTTGTAGATCATCTACGTCGATAATAGCTTCTTCATCAATCTCGTCTCCAGAGTCAAGGTCACCAAAGTCGCTAGGGTCTTCTCCATCCTCCATTTTGTTGAGATTGTCTTCCACGTCGCTACACATGAGACTATCGGCTATACGACACAATGCATATCACATGTTAGACAGGGTAAGCGTAAGTTGTATATACAGGACACAAAAAAAACGCACCATCCTCGTAGTCGGAATCGCCGTTATCGTCGTCGACGATAACAACCTCGCCTTCGTCGATGGCAACTTCATCGTCACTGTCATCTTCGTCCGATGAGCCAAAAAGAGACGTCTCAATAGAAGTATGGACGGTAGGACTTGAGCGAGCCACCCTGTCCCGCGGAACCAACCCGTACTCGTCATCCTCGTCTTCTGAACTGAAAATGCCACCTCTATCATCTGCACCACAAGCCATACACCAGTAAGTAAGGCAATCCAAGTAGACACGTTGAGAGTACATACCATTCATAGGACTCGAAGAGGTGCTCAAACGCGGAGGGGAATCACAACGCCCAGCAGCGGTCGATTCAGTCGAAACTTGCGACGTCGCCTGCAATTCCCCGACGTTTGGACCAATTGGAGTTGTATAATTAGCGACCTCAGTGCTCGACGGCGTAGGAGCTAAACGTATGCAAGAGGAACGGGCACGTTAGACAAACCAAATCATTTAGCACTGCCATGTGGCATACGTCTACATTTTGCGGAGCACGCCGAGCTCAGCGCTTCGGCTGCTGCCATTGAATGAACTAACATAGACCAGTACAAAGTCACTTGTCAGCAATATCAGCAAGGTAAAGGCAGCGTTGTGTACGTACCGGAGCCATAATGAGCGCACACTCGATCTTCACCCGAAAAGGAGTCCTTGCCTTCGATACCGTTTGCTTTTCCGCCAGGCGGAATATACTTCCATCGGGTCTCGATCGAGCTAGCTGCGGGCTTCTTGAGCGTCCACCCGCTCGCCCCGAGCAGCTAGCTACAGTGTTTCTCGATCGTGCGTACAACAAGTCACTCAAGATGCTCAAAGTCGCTCTGGATGGGAAAATTGTGACCTTGGTCACGGATGGATGGACAGACATTAATGGCCTTGCTGCTGTGAACGATGTCGTCGTTTACGGGGAGTACACGTTTTTTTTTTGAGAGCGTCTACACCGGTACTCAAGCGCACGATGCCGAGGTTTTGGCAGCGGACATTGAGTTATTGCCAAATACGATTTTCTCGAGGTCGGCGCCGTGGTGACAGATAATACTAACGCGAACAAGGCCGCTTGGGAAACTTTGCAACAAACGTTTTCCCAAAACTTTCTTCCACGGCTGCGTCTGCCACGGCCTGCATTTACTAGCCAAAGACATCGTCAAAAAGGTGAAATGGATGGATACTTTGCAGAGTCGATGTAAGGAAATGGTTACCTTCTTCAAGAAGAATAGCAAAACGTGGGCAGCGCTTTCAGCACAGCTTAAAGAGAAACATCTACATGGTCTCGCTAAGCCAGGAGACACAAGATGTGGATTCCTGCTAAAGTGCTTCAAGACTATACTGGCTGCAGAGGCCATACTATTCTCTCGTGTGTCAGCCCGCGGATTCCTGAAGGCGAAGACAAAAAAGCAAAAGAAGACCTGCCGTGGCGTCCATACTCTAGTGACATCGGCTGAATTTGTGCCTCGCTTAAAGAAGGCTATCGCCATCCTTAAGCCAATTTCGAAGGCGCTGAAGTTGTTTGAGAAGAACATCACACCAGTTTCGGAGGTGTACCAAGTTCTTGTCGACCTACCGAACGAGCTAAAAGCTACAGGACTCACTGCAGCCGAGTACAAGAGCGTGGATGCGCTCGTCAGCTCGCGATTTGAGTTTACCTACGGAGATGCTCACGGCATTGCGTACCTG